TAATATGCTGGACCGTACCTCGCCTACTCCACCAACGAGTCTAGGGAGTCGCCTACTCCCTAACCCGAACCCGAACCCTAACCCTAATCCTAACCCTAATCCTAACCCTAACCATATCAAATAGTGACCAGGGTACGTTCCGGTATACCGGACCGTACCCAGGGTACGTACCGGCAGTACCCTGGGGGACATAGACCCTATGAGCCGTAGTAACAGGTGATAGTAAACTATCCAGATCCAGACATCACATGTATGTAATAACATAACATTACTAATCACATAAATCAACTAACAGTTTGTAAATAAGCTCGCAACACATATTCGCACACATCAACCTTCAGTAATTATGGAAACTTCGTACCATCAATGTTGTTTTGGTCATAGGTTTCCCCCTTGCCACGTATATAATATTTACACACGTACGTTATATTATCCCGATATAATTCCATATATAGGAATAATCTCATTTTTCAACAAATACATGATATAATGGTGGTCTAGCTACAAAAAACCTCACATGTGACTGTATAAATCACTGCAAATTGAACGAGCAAAATGTAAATATTTCAAATACATGTACTAGTGTGGTGCAGAAAAACATCACACTCACACACATAACATGGACGATTGCACAAACTACATGCGTGCAGTGCTTCTATCTTATAAGTTATAAATTAAAGATGCATTCCCGCATACATCTTTGTGACAAACCACTGTAAAAACGTAAGTAAATAACTCACTACACTTTAACTGAACGTTAGCTTTGGAAATAAAACTGTAAAAATATGTATCAAGCCTATATTCCCTCAACGAAAAAACAACTCGAAAAAATGTGTTTCGCCGCGGTTCTGTATCATGGCGGCAAGACTCGACGCAGGTCACGTAACCAGCCAGCTATAGATATCATATAACACATGTGTTATATGATATCTATGAACACATGCTGCCTTCATGACCTTCAACGCTTAGCAACACCGCATGGCAACAAGAGACGCGTCACAACATCGCCGCATAGAGATTGGGGTTCCTATCCTGTGTTTGGGTTACATTATTGTATCTACATCGCCGCAGTGCGGCAAAAGTAAACGCTGTTTGAAACATTCGACCCGACACTTTCACTTTGTAGTCTAAAAGCTTTGAATGAATATATTCCTGACCAATTTTTTTACCTATCGCACATATATAGGCAAGTACAAACATGCAATCAGGAGCTATTAAAAGAGGTATTATTAGCTCTTCATGCAATGTTAAAATAATTCATTTTTGCCTGATTTTACATTTGCCGCTTGAAACTTCGAGGCAGGGCACCTTTAAATATAACATTCTGTATACAACTGTATCAATAACTGTACATGACTGTATAATTATAACAATTTTATATATTATTATAGTAAATAGCATTTGGTAATTTTCTTAGACCAGTGTGTCTTTGGTTTCACGCTCTATATAACATTGATTTCGCATAATTACTAACATGGAATTAAAGGCCTCCAGTTTCCGAGGATTCACATCACAGTAACTCGTATTTAATTGCATAAAAGCTACAGAAGAATAGCTCAATAATAGAATAATAGGTTTGTTGCTCTTGTATATCCAATCTACCAGGTGATGCTACGTTTTTTGTTACATTAATAAGAGCATATATATATATATATATATATATATATATAATCATGTTATCACCTGTTCGCCTTTCTTTATCTTTGTGTGTCACCATGCTAGTATGGGAAATACACACACTGTAAGATTGGTGATTACGTTAGGCTGTGAGGTAGCAGCTTTTGATGTAAAGATTTCGTCTTGTAGCCTATAAGACTAAAACAAACCTGCTGCAAAGTTATTAACAACCATTGCATGACATTATACTGGCCAGTATATATCGGTAACTGATGCTTAGGATTTTACGATTTCGTTTAATTATACATAAAAAGTATCTTTGGTGGGTTGTATCTTTGGCTACTTAACGTAATACTCGGTTGATTAACTGCATTAGAATAGCAACAGTTAAAACCTTACGAAATGCATGATAGGTTTCAGTCTTTGTTAGCTTAGCAAAATAATTATTTGTGGTAAATATATAAACGGGGGTAACTTTTGAACGTTGGACTCCCTGCTCTCAAAAAGAGGGAGTCCATAGTCTGAAGTTCAAAATTAAAGATATTTTACAATATAAACGCATACATGTGCTTATTTTGAAGATTCATGCCGTTGCACGTCTGCCAAATTTTCTTTGGACATTTGCTGTAAAAATAAGGGTAATTCCGCGAGGAGTTAGTATGGCAAAACTTTCAGGGAGTCACACAGACTCCTGCATATGTCAAATCAGAGAGTATTTGACTCCGGACTCGCGTTAATTTCGCACCCTGTATAAATAAATTTTTTTTACACTCGTGTAACGTTTCCTCACGCACATATTCGCTCTTTTTCAACGCTCCTGCAAAACACTTACAGGTGGGTGCACGCGGGCAGCGCCATCTAGTGGCGCACACAGCGGACAAGAGCAGTGCGGCGGACGCGGGTGGCGCTACCTGGCGGCACGGCGCGTGGTGGATGCATGCGGCGCAGCATACGGCACTATCGGTACCTGACGACACGGTGCAGCGCGATGGCGGTGCGGTGCAGCGCGATGGCGGTGCGGTGCAGCGCGATGGGGGCGCTACCTGGCGACGCAGTGCAGCGCGATGGCGCTACCTGGCGACGCGACTTACGGTGGCGGCGCAACCTGGTGACGCGACGGACGACGGCGGCGCTACCTGGCGACGCGACGGACGACGGCGGCGGCGCTATCTGGCGGCGCGGGGGACGACGGCGGGAGCGTCTCGCCGCGCATCGTGAGCAGCTTGCTCCACAGCGTGTACATGTCGGCGAGGCGGCGGACGTGCGCGAACAGCGCCGGGTGCGTCGCGTTCAGCACGCCGCGCTCCAGCTGTTCCTGCTTGAAGACGTACGTCGACGCGATCGAGACGCGGCGCACGTCGGCGCGGCTGGGCAGGTAACCCGTCACGTAGACGTCGTCGACCCAGAAGAAAGGCGTGTAGAGCGAGGCGTTGTAGAGCGCCACGACCGCGTCCGGCGTGATCAGGAACGCGCTTCCCGAGCAGTACTGCGGGAAGTACTTTCCCGCGTAGTCGCGCTCGGCGACCTCCCACTTCCCCGTGCGCAGCACGGGCATGCGGCCCCACACGTGGCAGAGAATGGCGCGCACGGGTGCGTGGCCGTGCCGCGCGACGCTCGTCAGGTGCGCGTGCAGCGCGAACACGTTCACGACGATGTCGTCGTCGGTCTTCAGCACCCAGCGCGCGCGCGAGCAGTGGCGCGCGACCCAGCGCAGCGCGCCGACGCCCTTGTAGGTCAGGTTCCTGTACGTGTCGCGGAAGTCCTCCTGCACGAGGTCGCGGTACGCACCGCTCTCGAACGCGAGCGCGCTCTGCGTCGTCGCGTCGTCCGAGGGAACGCCGAGGAAGAAGACGACGCGGAAGCGGAGACGTCGCAGCCAGCGCTCGTGCGCCCACGTCTCGCGGATCGCCATGCGGCGGCGGTAGTGGCTCGGCGCCGTGTGCACGTAGACGATCATGAAGAGGTCGTCGCCGTCACGCTCGCACATGTCCTCCTCGTTCAGCAGGTAGGAGAAGTTGTGCGGGTTCGGCACGCCGGGCGGGTCACGCTGCGGCAGGGGTCGCGCCGCCGACGCACGCATCACGTCGTGGTAGATCCGCCACCGCTCCGTGTGGTTCGTCCACTTGGCGACGCCGGGGGGTTCGCTCGTGGCGACGACGACGTCGATCCAGTTGCCGTCGGTGGGGCGGTAGTGCGTGCGACTGCGGATGAACACGCTCGAGCGTACGCTCTGGTGCAGCGTCAGCGTCAGCAGCAACACACAGACGACGCAGCCGACGACGATGAGGTTCAGGAATTTGCTACCCATCATTCTCGATGACGATATTATTGCACCGCGCGTCAGTTACCGTTAGCTGCTGGTTGGATTCCTGTAACAGTTCCCGTTGGGTGTTGGCTGGAATCGTGTAACAGTTCCTGTTGAGTGTTAGCTGGATTGTTATTACAGGTCCTGTTGGGTGCTGGTTGGATTCCTGTAACAGATCCTGCTGGGTGTTGGTTGGATTCCGGTACAGTTCCTGTTGGGTGTTAGCTGGATTATTATAACAGTTCCTGTTAGGTGCTGGTTGGATTCATGTAATGATTCCAGCTTGGTGCTGGTTTCGTTCTTGTAACAGCGCCTGAAATAGAAACAGGATTGCCTCTGCTAATACAAGCCTGAAACAACAGCGCTACGAGCAAATATTGTGTTTGCACTTCGCAGTGCTTGCCTGTTAACAACAGCAAACAATCCAACTATGGAAACAGCAGCGCAACTCTTATGTTGGCTCCACGCCAACCAAAGCTGCAGGAACCATTTGCGTTATAGTTAAATACAAACGCTGCGGATATTCCTTACAAGGCCATCCTTGAAAAATTATATGTTTGCTGTCCTCCGACCGACCCACAAAAATAGCCGCAACCCAAAAGTTTTTTTTACATTTTGGGTTCCATGTTGTTTTTTTTTACATTTTTCATAGTTAAGACTGAAACACAAAGCATGTGTGGCAAACATGAGGACAGACTTAAAATAACTATTATGCCTCACAAAAAAAATCATGGGTCGGGGGACAGCAAACATAGAATTTTTTAAGGATGGCCCAACCTATGATATCCTTACCCATAACAGAATTCTACGCATTGGAATTTTCAACATATGCCACAATGTGAAGAAAGAGTCATGCGTTCGTAACAAATGAAGAGTTCTGGGCACGCAGACCGACCAACGATTAATGCTCCCCTATGCACCATATCGACAAACAATAAGGCGTCACCGGATACAGTACAAAGTACACATGGCAGGGCCTAAAGCAAACTTATAGATGCACACACCCTATTACTGACTGACACCAACTAATACCGGAAACCAGTTCATGGTGCTTAGGTTAGCCTAAATAAAGGGGAGTAGATAAAAGAAAGTTGAGATAAGTGGTTGAAAATGTGAGTGCATGCACACATGCTGTTTGTTTTTTCTGTGGCCTCCTCCTGTATTGTATTTGTTTAATTACACAGCAAATTAAATGATCAGCATTTGCTGAAAGGAATGCATACCAAGTTCTTACCCAAACGTTAAATAAAAAAATTAAAAAAAGAAAAGAAAAAAAGTTCTTACCCAAACAAGGGGGATACCAAGTTTTACCTGACCACGATACACCTTGTTGAGGTTATAACTGTAAGCTTGTTTGGCCAAAAGCACTAAGCAGATTCGACGATCGTGGTCCCAATCAAATTGAGTCACAAATAACACCTAAACTGTCTGTCATTCATTGAACGCCAACATTTACACCTGGAAATCTTACATTGAACATTGGAGTTTACAGATGCCAGAATGAGATGCTAAGGCTGATGGCTGCAAGCTCATCGCATCTCACTTCTTCATTCTTACTAATCATCTAATGCACCGTCATTAAACATTTAATTCAATTGATATTTGTTACGTGCTGCACAGCCACGAAGTCATAGCCAAAACCAGAACCAGTGGAGAACGTTTACACAAGCGTTTATTCAGCTACACAAACGTGTGCCCCGTGCCCTGTCCACTGCCCAACTGCCTCGTGTATACACGTGTACGTTACACCCATCTATTGACACGTGTGTCGCCATCTAGTGGCTGACTAGGCTATTACAGACGTGTATTACAACACTTAACATCTTTCCCTTTTTGGAAAAACTCGATCTAGCTCAACACCAATCAACACTATTTCTTAAGTCATCAAAGTAACACAACCCAAAATTATTAAAATAACAGAAGACAAAACTAACTATTCTCCCAGTCCTCATAGATAGTATGACTTAACGTTATCGCTTCACAAGAACTCAACTTATATCAAATATCATCAATACATCACAAATTATACCTTCTTGTGCCACCGATACGTGTTATACAAATGAACGATCATAGCTGAATAAAATAAAACCGCTTAACATAAGACATGACACTCTATCCTCCGATACTACTGATGCTACTGCCTAAACCTCACAGGAATTTTAACAGTTCTGCCGGATCTGGTTGTCTTTACATCGGCATCTGTTGACGGCGGCCGAGGTACGTCGGAAGGGGGTGCGATTGGCACGTGCACGGGCGATGCCGGCAACGTCGCTTGACTGTGCGAAGAAAGCGACCTTGACCCTCTCTATGTGATGACATAGCTTCACGGCGGGCCCCAGCTTCAGTTCAAGGTGCTCCTACACCGTAGGTAGGTTGAGCAGCATCAGCGCCTGACCGTCAATCTCCTGTTCCCCGAGGATGCGAGACATGTGAGCGCACTCTGTGTTCGCGATGAATCGGGCGACGTCATCCACCGACCACTCCAGCGGATTTGTCTCCAACACCAAGTGGCTCTCTTGTTGTCTCCGCCGCCGCTGCTGCAGTGGTGCCTGTGCTCCTGTCAATGATGTGAGTGTTTAGCGTGCATCGTCGGCTCCTCAATCGGGCTGATGACATTTATCTCCTTCAGCCTCTCCAGCTTCATCTTTAGTTTCGGTCGCACCGCGATGGGGACTCTCCTGTTGGCCATCACCACAGGTATCGCACCAGCACCAACACTACGATGCTGGGTACCTGGGTAACTATGTGGGGGGTTTGCTGTCACACCAGTCAAGCAACTGTTACATGCAGGAATACTCCGAATACAGTACTATATGTGACATACCATCTCAGGCGTCTATACAATTTGTAGATTTTGGATACCCTAGCAGGTCAACTAAAATAGCACTGCCAGCGGATTGTGTGACGCTACCCCCCGCTTCGCTCTTTTACTCTGGGTCATGTCTTATAAGTTATAGACTAGCACCCTTCTTGACACATGAGCCTCCAAGGGCCTGTGGTCAGTCACTAAGGCAGATGGGGTCGTTGTCGTATCAGGTACTACAGATATGTACCCGAGGTAGTTTTAGGTTGTTTAGTATTATGTTTATATTTTTATATGAGGTACCGTATGTTTAGGGTTAGGGTTAGGGTTCGGGTTAGGGTTAGGGTACACTTCTGTAGTACAAGTCTGGTACACTTTGTGTATACATATATGTACCTCGGGTACATATCTGTAATACCTGCTACGACAACGACCCCTTGAGCGTCACTAAGCCAGCAACTGAAGGCCTAATAATGACAATGCTGAGCAAAATCAATAAAACTAGGCCTAGTGTCAGTGAATAATATATGGCGATATAATATGGCACACATGCGACATGGTACGTATACATAATAATAACAGTAAACTGTAGCAGGACGTAGATGAATATGTATAAAAACACATACATGTGCTTGTATATATATAGTATGGACAGACTTACCATATGAACATCCCAACACTAGACGTATCATGGTATATGAACCATGTTTACGGACGCCTGCGGACGCTCGATGTTTTTCTGCTCTCTAGCCTAGACTGGTACTGTGTCTTATCGCCATCGGCATTGCATGTACCTTTCTCCAGAATATCAAAATATCATTATGAAAAGGATTCAATCATTGATTACTGTTTACGGGTTAACTTATATATTATTGGCCTATCGATTCGATCAACCATGACTCTCTCCTTCTTCGTACAGTTTCCTGGACTTTGAAGAATACTCTTTATAAGATTGTGAGTTTTATTTCTGTGCTTTTCCCGTGGGGAACAACAGTAAACGTTATTAGCTTACATGGTACACGTCTCCGCTCTATCGTGTCCTGACACCTGTCGGCTACATTAGAAAATAAATGTTCGCTTATAGATATGATATAATACTATGTATGTGTAATATATAATATATATATGATAAGATAATATATAATATATATATAATAAGATATATAATAATATATTATTAATAATATATCATATGACTATGAGCTATAGTATTTGTGTTCGCTAGGCGCTCCGATATTTTGCGATAGATGCAGGATGCTGTCACGTGGTACGTGACGTCAGATTGTCAACGAAATCTCTTCCACGTTCGCCATTTTCCTAAGGACTGTGATTTGTAAGTATATACATTTTAACGATATGGTCCTAAGAACGGTTAAGAAACGCGTGTTATTATACGAGCGAACGAAGAGTGACTTGACCGGCATTTCTTGCTTCCGTAAAATGTAGAGTTGTCATTTATACAGCGTTTATTCCAAGCGTTCGTTGAACCGATTTGCCGGCCAAGTGGCAAGTTCACTTCACATAAAAATTCGCATGTAGGCCTAGAGTCCTACATATTTCATGAATTTTTACACTAACTTCCTGATAGTGTTATTTGACGTTCAGTAATCTCTGACAAAGGTGGGGAAAGTCAGAATACTAGCATGTAAGTTGATCAAATTTGAAGATCAACAGTCTATGTTGCACTTGAATGAAAACTGAAATTTGAAAGATGTCAAACCAGGGCCAGGGCGTCTTCACTAATTAAATTACGGAACAACTCTATAATCTTAGTACTCCTAGTGTCATCATCATCTTCTTAATGATCACTAACCGTAATCATAATCCATAACCCGTACCGTAACCCTAAATACCCCTAAATTATTATTACGGACTGGACAGGACTCGTGTGAGTCGTGAGTCGAACAACACCGCACAAAATATTTTGATATAACTATAGGCCTACTACCAGTTAGCAGGGGCGTGTACAGGGAGGGGGGGGTCTAGGGGGTCCGGACCCCGCCCTGCTCGCGCAGAAAACGCATCTAAGGGGGTCTAATTTCAAAAATGTTCGCGTGCTAGCAAGTTTGGGTTACGGTTAGATGGTACAAATCCTGTACATGCCCCTGATTAGTGTTATATTTTTATTGTTTGAAATTGTCACATAGTAAAGGCAGACAGGTAAGAGTGTTACTGGTGACACGCCGATTTGCAGCCGTAGTATCGTATAGCCTATTACAGTTAGCAGAGATGCCAACCACTACGATTTATTCGTATTTTATACGAATTTCGTTTGCATTTTGACCACTACGACCAGTTTCCATACAAGTTACAACTACGATTTTTATTACGATTGAGAAAAAATCATTTTGATGATATTTCAAGTGTTTTGTTTCAGTGTTACATTGATATAACATGATTGAAAATAACTACATGTATTTAGCAACAAATATCAGTTTGAACTTCTTGTCATTTTGGGTTCCAAAATGCAGGAAATTGCATCTCACAATCAAACATTTTCCGGGGGCATGTCCCGAACCCCCCTAGCATACATTTCAGACATCCTCACTACAGTTTGCTCAGAAAAGCGTTGGCATCTCTGAGTTAGTTAAATTAGTTGCTTAATACCATTAACGCTAGTCGGCATTTGGTTTGTAACAGAACCAGTGCTAAGGTTGTAATTAATAATATGAGTTGTTCATTAAAATTATCAAAAACCGTTACGCCTAGATGTGCCATCATATTGATTCTGATAAAAAAAATGTAGGAACCAACTATAAGCACAATAAACATTAAAACGAACCAACTATGAGTAGTATGAACACAATATTTATTAAAAACTAGTAATTGAGAAATTCAGTACTGTTAATAAAACCAGAAAAAGCATCAGCAATAGCATCACAAGTATGGATGACAACAAAAATATGTAGCTACAGAACGTGTGGGAACATTTGCTTTTAATTTGTGATGTTGGACCGGAGTTGGAATTGCTGGTTTTAGTACCATTGCAAAATTATTGCTATTGAGAGTTGTCTTGATGAACTGGACATAAGCTGCACTACATGCCTAGACCCGATTTAGTTCTTTATATGAATACCAGCACAGGTCTTTGCTGGCATTGTAGATTGCTGTGCTATGTGAAGGAATGCATGTTTAATTATTAGTTACTATTCTAGTATTGACATCCGTATTATCTGTTCCAGGTAGCTCAATTCATAATTATTAGACAAAATGGGTAACATATTCACAAACCTCTTCAAAGGCCTATTTGGCAAAAAGGAGATGAGAATTCTAATGGTAGGATTGGATGCAGCTGGTAAGACGACCATCTTGTATAAACTTAAGCTTGGTGAAATCGTCACTACGATACCAACAATTGGTAAGTGCATTGATCAATCAATAATTGTAATAAATTTTCAATGGAAATGTTAGAAAAGGAGTGCGCCTGTCATATATTCATAAATAAGACAGGTTATCATGTGCTGATTTATCCCATAAACCTTTTTTTTAGACAAATTTAATTAAAAATATTTTTTCAAGTAATATTTAACAAAATATTTAGTTTGTGAAAGTATTTGTGTGTATTATTGTGGTTTTATTTTTAATGATCTCGCATCTACCTGTTTATGAAGGTAATGTTTAATAATTACATGTTTTTGTTCATTCTCAGGCTTTAACGTAGAGACAGTCGAATACAAAAACATTAGCTTCACAGTTTGGGATGTTGGCGGACAAGACAAAATTCGACCACTGTGGCGACATTATTTCCAAAACACGCAAGGTATGTTATCACTGGCTTTTAAAAATTTGGAACTTAAAAATTATAACTAGTCTGTTGCTCATACTAGCAACAAATATCATTTTTGATGCATCATTGTTTCAATAGTCGTGATGATGTATATGCATGGAAGACTTGAACATCATTTGTTGTTGGCAGTAGGCTAGGCATTCGGAGCTTAGGCTTTGTAAAAAAGTGTGTTACAACGTGTGTGAATCGTATAGCTTGATGGATTACTTATGGTTGCGTAGACGTATAAGATACTGTCATAGAGGACTGCATCTATTTTAGGTCTCATATTCGTGGTGGACAGCAACGACAGAGAGCGCATAGGAGAAGCCAGGGAGGAACTGATGAGGATGCTTGCAGAGGATGAACTTAGGGATGCAGTCCTGCTGGTGTTTGCCAACAAACAGGTAATGATCACTGTCATGCAGACTCTTTACCGAATGATGGTTTGTAGGAGGAAATATCTCTTCAGGTCACGCATACATTCGTGTACGACGGACCGTGTCTGATGCCGAGGCTGACACGCTATGGCTGATCGCACAATGTCTGCTACGGTCGTTGTCTAGCGGACAAATCCTAGTTTAGTACCTCGGCTTAGTTTAGCACATTAGCGAAAATGAGGGCTTGGGTCCCATGCTAGGATTGACTGTCGCTAGCCGTGCATGTACGACTCACAAGTTACACGGACGTTTGAGATGGGGTGTTTGTGCGAAGTCTGGTTTTGACAATGATTGCCCTGATACCGTACGCCTACTTCAATCGTTGTCTAGCTGTGCATGTACGACTGACAAGTTACGCGGATGTTTTAGTTTGGGAGGCGGAGACGTTTGTACGAAGTCTGGTTTTGACGAGGATTGCTCTGATGTTCCCATACGCCTACTTCTTCTACCCGTAGGATCTTCCGAATGCGATGAATGCCGCAGAGGTTACCGACAAGCTCGGTCTGCACTCGTTGAGACAGCGCAACTGGTACATCCAGGCGACATGTGCGACCAGCGGGGATGGCCTCTACGAGGGACTAGACTGGCTAAGCAATCAGCTGAAGAACCAGAAGTAGAAGCGGCAGACGGACGACTCAATCACTCGATTTCCGACCTGACAGACGAACCGGTTTCGCGACGCCCTTGTCACGCCGCGCTCTTCCCCGGGTGCGGTGAGGAGAATCCGTGTCGTTTAACGCCGAACTGCGCTCATTGAGACGACAGTGGGCACATTTATTCCCCTGATATATGTTTGTTGTTGAACAGATCGTATAGCAGGCCTGCAGCTGGCAGCTACGCGTCGTACCAACGCGAGGAGTATACAAGTGCAGTGCTCGCATTTGTCTGATTCGTTTGCGTGGGCGTTCGTAGCAGGAAACCATTGTTTGCTGTCAACTGTCGGTACTGTTCCAAAAACTGCTGTTCGGTGTCTGCATCGAGTAGTTTGCCACATCATGGAATTTTCACATTTGTTTATCGTGTCACATCTCTCTACGAACCTACAAAGGCCTTACACTATGCTGAGACGTGGAAGTAAATTAACGCGGGTTAACGTAATGAGTAGTGATTGAAACTTGGACCAAACATGTAAAGTTGTATATAGTGCATGGGAAAAGTTGTTCCAAGAGGAGTGAGGGGGGCATGCTGCAAAGGTAGTCGGCCATATAGACCCGTAGAAGAAGGGGGAATGGATTATGAACCTAGAGATACCTGGCCTATATGGTGGCCTTTGGCATTTATAATTGTACTGTAAAGTTGGTGTCATCGGTACATGCAAGCTTTTAATTGTGAACAGGTTATTGTTACAAGCTGAGTGTACTGAAGTGGCACAACCTTTCTTCAGCAGCAGCAGCAGCAGCAGCAACGGAGTGCCCTTTAGGAGTTGGCACGTTCTAGCTCGTTATGCTGTGTTACGCATTTATCCGAATGCTGGCATCATACTTCGTTGCAGTTATTTTGATTTAGTAATATGTTGATAAGTCTGCTCGTTTGCAACAGAATCTGACAGCCTGTTATACATTTTTTTAAATCTTATCCTGTTCTCTTTCCGGGTCAAGTTCGTTCTCGCTATTGGTAATTCTGCGAGTGAAATATTCTGCACACGGTCTGTGATAATAATCAAAATAAACATGTTTGCTGTGACTTCAGTTTTTAACGCAGCATTGAATGTACTTCTCCCAACTTTGCATTAACTCGGTACTTTTAGGAATGAAACTGATGCATGCTTATTGAAGCAAGCCATTTAGAAAATACTCATTCTTTAGGTATGGGTATTTCACCAGCTGATTATTCTATTGAGACTAATTAATATTTGCTGAAACAAATGATATGTAAGCAACGAGTTGTATCTAAAGGTTGCACTGTTTTGCATTTTATTTAAAATGGCAGGAATCGGGGAAGCATTCGGCCCGTATAGAGACAGCATAAAGTTGATGAAGCCATTTGTTGTCGTTCTAGTAGGTAGTGCGAGTCCGAGTGCCTAATCTAAACACGGACTGGTCAGGAACGATAGTGTAGGTCTGTGTTTAATAGTGAAAGATCGTCGGACTGTTATCTTGTGGCGCTAACTGTGCCGGATACATCCCTGCATTTAAATTGAGCTTCATCAGTACACGCTATTGGCACTAAAGATGCACCTCTTGTGGTATCATGAACATGTATATACTCGTATAGAAGCGAGCTTGTATATGTATGTTCATGGTGGTATTAAACACTACGTAACTTCTCACCACCTCCATCTTCTACGAACAACTGCCATGTGCAGTTGTGTCGATGACAGTTGCTGTATTCCAGAATGTGTGATGTGGCGAATGACCAAATGGGATGTGTATCTTTTTCTACACATTCAAGAATTAACGTACTACTTGTCAGTATATTATAAAAATAAAACATTATTATGGCTAAATTTGAATGTTTAATTTGTCTGGTTGTGCATTTGATCATAAGTGAGGTAAACAACATAACTGATAACATTGTCTGTTATCGAACATGTAATATAGATTATATTCAAAACAAATTGTTAGTAATAGTAACTTCATTGTTAACATTGCTGTCTTATTATTAAATTAATGGCATTAATAACGTAATTATTTACCACTTTAGTAACATCATAAATAATATTAGAGAGACTCCAAACTTTATGGGGTTAACCGCACAAGCGTCATATCAGTTTAAACATAGGCCCCCAGACTGTCTGTCTTTCTGTTTATGTGAGCCGTTTAACATGTAGACGGAGAGGGCTAGAGAGTTGAAATGCTGCCCATTCAAAGTTTTAATATTGAAAAAGATAATAAGTGCCGACAGGTGGCGGTCGCGTGTTATAATCACCTGCTTCAATATATCACGTTATTACTTTATATCACTTTGTATCACATTATATCGGCGTTCATCACATCATCAATTTTAATTACTTTATCACCTTATATAACATTATCATCTTATTCAGCATTATTATATACAACATTATATCTCCTTATATCATCTTATGAACTCACTTTGTGTCACGCGCATCTAGTATGAACGCAGATTGCAATTATTGTTTTTTTGCCGCCTGTCGGTAAGATCAAATTGCAAAGCATTTTCTAACTTCTCAGGGGCGGATCCAGGATTTTTGAAAAGGGGGTGTCCATGAAGAAATAAAGGGCACTTTTTCCTGCTTACCTTTTCTGGTGTTTTAAAAAGCTGCCGAAGGGGACTTTTTTTACGGATTTTTTTTTAATTGGTGCATTCTGAGAGCATCTGCGCAGTAATTTTGATGTCTAGAATGCAAAAATTTATCAGATCCGGTCTCCCGGACCCCACTTTGCCAATTTCTAGGTTTTTATAACGAATTTACATATATATAAGTAATGCGCTAAACAAGATTTTTTATGGAGCCAATATAAGAAAAGTGTGTGTGTGTGTGTGTGTGTGTGTGTGTGTGTGTGTGTCGTGTGTGCGGCGTGTGTGTGTGTGTGTGTGTGTTGGTGTGTGGTGTGTGTGTGTGTGCGCGCGCGCGCGTGGTCGTGCGTGATATGGTGTATGCCTTTTTGTGATAAAAAAGGGGGATCCGGAACCCCTCGACCCCCTCGACGCCCCTGGTTCTTCAACAGCTTCTTATCTCACCCCCCTAACCGGCGACGCCGCGCATTTGCGTGCGCACGTCAGTGTGTGCGTGCGTGTACGGCGCGCCGAGGTCGTCCTGTCTCCCTCTGTGTGTGTAGGGTGTGCTGAGCACGCCGTCCTCCATTTCATTACAGAATCTACAGGCATATATATACGTGTATATATATATATATATTATACTATACTATAGAGGTATGATATGTATATAAGTAATATACGTATCCATATACTAGCTTATATACAATACAGTGCAAGATACGAGTTTTAGTATTCAGGGCGAACAGCCCAACGGGACGGCTGAAGATGAGTACTCGTCCATACGTGTCACGCGCCCGTCACCCCAAAATTCGCGATATAGACTAGGTCAATATTTCGCACTGTTGTCTTCGATATATGGTCCTAATTTGACCTTGAAAAGTACTTATTGTGAGGTTTGATACTCGAGAGAGCTAGCACGCAGCGCAGTGATACGGATGTATCCGCACGGTATAAGTGAGCTACGAGTGATAAGCTCGGCCCCATAGAGTAGATAATAACGATCTACTCTTGAATACGCCGCGTCCGTACGTTTGAGCCGTATACAATTCCTAAAAATACACCGAGTATGTGGCGGCCTTTTGCGTACGCTTCTGAGCACGCGATCGCGTGTGTCGCGTGTTACTCGCGTCGTGTCGGTGTACCTTCGCGTGGGATCGCATGTACCTCGACGTGTACATCCGCTGATGCAATGACTCGGGTGTAGCCGGAGCAGGTGTAGAACACTGTACCCCCCTCGCGTGTGGTCGCGTGTACCTTGCGGATGAGGTCGTGTGTACAGGGTAGTGCGTGTGCGTCGGGCGTGTACCTCGCGTGTGTCGCGTGTTCACCGCTTGGTCGCGCGTGTCGCGTGTACCTCGTCGCGTGTGGTCGCGTGCGTACGCCCTCGCGTGGAGTGGTCGCGTCGGACCTCGCGTGGGTGGTGCGCCGTGAGTACCTGCGGTGTGGTCGCGTGTAACCTCGCGTGTAGGTCGCGGTACTTCGAGTGGTCGCCGTGTACTTTCGGCGGGTAGTGGTCTGCTGTGTACTCGCGTGTGTCGCGGTGTACCATCGCGTGTGGGTCGCTGTGTACTCGCGTGGGTGGCGTGGTATTAGCGCAGTGTGAACTCGCGGTGTACCCCTCGCGTTGTTGGTCGCGTGGTACCATCGCGTGTGTCGCCAGTGTTTTCGCGGTGTGGCTCGCGGGTACTTTCGCGTGTGTCGCGTGTACAGCAACTCGACGTGGGTCAGCGTGTACCGTGCGCGTGTGTCGCGTGTCCTTCGCCGGAGTGTTGTCGCGTGTACAGCGCGTGTGGTCGCGATGTACTGTCGCGTGTGGTCGCGTGTACCTTCGCGTGTGGTCGCTCGTTGTACCTCGCGCGTGGTCAAGCTTCGCTAAGCCAGCAGCTGGCGGTGATTCATCTGTATGAGCCGGCAGTACATCCGATCGTGAACTGGATTCACCCAAATTGGGATTAATTACAGTCCAAAGAATTTCTTCGGCTCGCTCGTTTTGCGTATGATCGTGGCCAGCTTTTCTTATTCCCTCGCCTACCTGCCTATCCTTCTCTGCTCCTCGTAGCTTCTCGCCTCTCACTATCTCCCTCCTCCTTTTCAACTGGCTCCCTCTTTATGCTCTCTCCGTTGTTTCGATCTCCGAAGTAATGACGACGAATAACTAGCGACATCTGCCTCAATCCTCCGCATGCGACATCCGGCAGGCGATTAAAATGTGTTGATCCACGACCGAGATTTGTAAATAATTATACCC